AGAAATAGTATTGCATGATGCATCCATAGACAGATATAGATTGATCTCCAGTTACAAAACTAGCCAGCATCCTGGGCAGGACAGTTGAAATGTAATAGATCTCCAAGCAAGACAAATTAACAAGGAAGAAATACATGGGAGCATGAAGATGCTGGTCAACTACAACCAGTGAAACAATTAGGAGATTTCCAGCAATGGACAAAGTATAGATAGGAAGAAGTAATATGAAGAGGACTATTCTCAGTTCAAGCAGATTGCCAAATCCCAGAAGGATAAATTCTATAGTGGTTGATTGATTTCCTCCCTGCTGGTGGAAAGTAAAGTGATTCTGAAATAAAATGAAAGAATGTTATTAATCTGAGTCTAATATTTTGTCTTTAAATATTGGGGAAACTTAGTATATTCCTCTCAATTCTTTTGCCATTTAATAATGCAAGTTGGGTGTCATACATTTGAATGGCCTAGAGGGTATATATAGATATAGATATTTGCAGATTCTCTTCTAACAAAGAGATACTGGGAACTTTTTTTCAAGCCCTGCCAGCCAGAATGTGCTGAGGAATTCAGGCACGAAGTTGGGAAGAGAGGGAGATTATATATCCCTGTTAAGTGTGACATACCCTGTGGATTTTCTCAGTATGAGCTCATATTACTGTTCCCATCATCCTGCAAAAACATTGTGTACCACCTTTATCACTTCTGCTATTGCAGGAATTTATTGTTCAGTTGTAGAGAGAATTTGTTACTACAGAAAAGTAATGAGTAGAACTTCTTATCTGTTCTCTTGAAAATTCTGTATTTGAGGAAGGCAGCCTGGCTCAGAGTTAGACACTGTGGGAGAGGCAGTAGTGGGGTCTCTGTGCCAACCCTCCTTTGCCAATGACTAGAAGCACTATTTTAAGATGCTGTTACCTTTAATGTTAAACTGTACGTTCAGCTTTAAACTAGAAGGGTCCAAATTTCCCAGTTCCTCTGTCATAATCAGCCCTGTACTAAATGGGAAGGACAGCACTGCAGAAATTGGGCAGAATGAAAAGGAGAATCTCAGTGGGACAAGGGAGGAAAAGGCAGGGAATCAGTAAAAAACAAAAACAAAAAAAACCTAATGAAGTACATAAATAACTAAAACAATTCTTCTTTCTCTGGTATTGTTTGCATGAGATCAGAAAAAGGCTAGAAGGCCATAAGGGTTTTGAAAGAGATATACCTACATTTTGTCATCAGATGTGCACAGAAGATGAAAATGACACTATTCAAAAAATAGATGAATTTAAAAATATACGTGATTTAACTTATAATTTATCTGTCACATTGGCTGAATATTTTTCATTTGCCAACTTTTTGGAATTTGAAATTTTATAGAGGCACTACTTTCAATGTGTAGAAAACCAAGTAAAGCACTCTTTATCTTGCCCAACCATGCCTTACTCCCATGTTTATCACAGGTCTGTCAGTTTATCACCAAAACATAACATCAGGCACTTATCCAAATGCTAGGCTTTGGTGTACAAAGTTCCCATTTTATATTATACATAGTAAAACTTATTTTAATTACTGTAATTTATGATAGGATATAAGAAAACTCCAGCTGGCAAGATCTAACAGATTAGTTCAGATTTTTTTGCAACTTTTGTATAGATCTTGGTATTGGAAGGAAAAATTTTACTAAGAGAAGTCCATTTGCCATCAGTTGATTCTAGAGCTGTGTTACTGCTATTCCCAGTAGGGAAGCTAAGGGAATCTTCTTCAGCCTTATTGCATACAAAGATTTATACTTCCAAAATGCTTTCCTAATCAGAAATTGACTGTATAGGAATTTATGTGCTTTGAATTCTCTGCGTGGAAAAAGTGGATTGCTAGAATTTTAATAGTATAATTTGGTTGATACCTTCCATTTTAAAACATTAATTTATATACTTTTAAAAAGTGGGGGAGAGGAAAAAAAAATGGCTCTTTCTTCATTCTGTCTCCTGAAAATTTCCTGATTTGCATCATCTGCCGAAAGCAAGCCCTTCCTTCTCTCCCTCTCTCTCTCTCTCTCACTCTTATGCATACATAGAGAGACATGTATAGTCTCAAAATAGACACGTGTTTGCACAGAGTTTCATAGAGAGGAAATATGTAATCCAAAACATAGTTCTCCACTGTTCATTCTTCTCTGAAAAGTACCTCTTCCTAATACTGAGGAAGGAAGGAAGGAAGGAAGGAAGGAAGGAAGGAAGGAAGGAGGCAGGCAGGCAGGCAGGCTGCATCGAGACTTTCTAATATACATCTGTTTGATTTGTATTTTGCCTCCTAGCTTCTATATTTTCTGGAGATTCCCCATCCCAGCCTTCAATACTCTTGTCTCCGCAACTATTCACCACCTTAAATAAAATATAATAATTCATCTATTTTTATCTCTGAACTTGGGAAGTATAAATAGTCTTCATGACACATATCCTTTGGATTTTTATGAAATCAAATTGTCTGATCTTTCAAAACACTCTTCCTAATTGCTATTATTGATGCAAGAGCATATACCATGAACTAAATGGTCCATGTAGACCATATTAGACAGATTTACAAAAATAGTTTCTATCTCAGTTACCAAAAAACAAAAACAAAAAAAAGATAGAATTGTTGGTATATTTATAAAAATAAAATATATTCTGTTCCAAATACAGTACATATAATATGCCAGTACACTGTATATAGATTTACCTCTGAATTGCTTATATTCCTAGATGGGATCTCGGTGGTGTTCCATTCATGTTCCATCCCAAAGACAAACGTTTTGTATCTTCTCAAGTTCAAAAATCTGTTTTAGATGGTCCTAACATTTCTTAATTTTCCTGTCATGCAATACATGAACATAGTTAAACATTCAATGATTATGCACAACTAGTTCTATGGATACAAGTTTGAAATCACTTAGAAAAATAGCAGATTTGACTATATTTTGTGACTAGTATAGAAAGTAAAATATAGTCAAACCTGTTATTTGGGCCAGCAGAATTTGGTCTTTAGTTGAGAGCCAAATAGAGTAGTGTGGGGGAAAAAAATCTGGAAGCTGATATCTCATTTTCAGCTGACAATTGTTGAATCAAGATATTGGTAACAGTATTATACATCTGTGGAAATATTTTATTTTAATTGATTTAAAGAAATAGTATTGAACCAAGAATATTTTAGTACATTTTTTTTCTTAAAATCACAGAATTTCACATTTTAGAAAGGTCTGACACATCCACAATTCATGGAACGTAAAATAATGCAGCAAAGCTCAACATAAAAGGGTCTTTTAGTTCTTTCTCACATTGTGCTGTCATAACCATTTGCAGTACATTACTTCAACATAAACTATCTCTAAATATATAACATAAACCATAAATTATATAACATAAACCGTAAGTATCAACATAAACCAGTCATAAACTATCTCTAAATGTTGAAAGATACTTGGTCTGAAACACCCACCTTCTAATAATCTAAAGCAGATAAATATGGTCCCTCTATATGTATTAAAGAGAAATTCCTTTTATAATTAGGTTCTCATCTCCTACTAAATTAGTTGGGTAGTAAAATGTCAGCTTGAAAGAATTTCTAGGAGTTATGCCAAGCATCTCAAACTATTTTTAATATAATGAAATTCACATGGGAGATATTACAATTCAAACAAGAGTGACAGAATAATGTTCAAACAGGAAACGTTGCATGCCTACTTATGTTAGGATATTGTTAATTACTCTTTCTACACCGATCACAAATGTGTCCTTAAGGTTTAAATCTAAATTCTCCTTCAAGTCAAGTTTGACTGCTGGTGACTTCATGGACATATCCACTTAGTTTTAACGGCAACAGTACAAAAGTGGGTTTTTGATTGTCTTCTTCCAGGATGTTTTCTGAGGTTCCCAATGTAGACTGCAACCCTGAGATTCCCTGGCAGTTTCCCATCCAAGCTTTGACAAGGCTTAACTTTACTTAGTTTCTAAACTCAGAATCAACAGCTATTATTTACAAACTACAATGCTTCTTCTTGTAATACCAAAGTAGAATTCCACCTTACTTCTGAAATAGCTTCAATTTTAGAGAGGGAAGGAAACAAAACAAAATCTAAAAGAGTCTGAAAACTATGATAGATTTCACCTAAATTAAAATGAAGAATCAGACCCTCCAGAACTTCTTGTTCCAACATTAAACTAATGGATGTTGGACCAACAACTTCTGGAGGCTCTGATTCCTCCAGTTTTATCAATGGTCAGGAATAATGGGAATTTCAATCCAATTTCAAAAGATGCTACACTTTTCCACTTCTTATCTAAATCAGAGATCTAAAAATTTGTGAGACACTAAATTTTTCTCTGGCCTTTTCCTACTGTAGAATTTTCTTATCACTGTACTTTCTTTCCAAAAACAATTGGGAGGGACAGCAGCCTCATTAACAATGGGAGCAAAGTAATAGTAGGGACAGGAAATAAGGATAACAGATGGCACTCAGCTCTTTATCCTAAAATAATTTTCTATAGCCTCATACTACAACTGCTGTAATTTATAAACAACATAATAGTGGCTGTAGATAATTGATGTGAAGACTAAGCATGTCTGAAAGATACTTCACTGGATATACAAATAACCAGCTAATGCCTTAATAATTAAAAAACATTAAAGAAAAAACAAACCAAAAGAGTGACCTGGATAACTTTCCCATACTGAATTTACAAATGAGACTTGTTAAAGCTTTGAAGAATTATGTGAGAAGGGACAAAGAAAACATTACAGAATCTACTTGTTCATCCAAGCTGTATAAAAGACTACAGCTTCCAAGTTTGAATTCTCTGTATAACAATTTTGCAATAAGGCTTTATTGTTTTCATAGTACTGAATGAATCTGTTACCACAAAATGTCAATGGATTTTCCACTATATTAAATTATTAATACTTAGATGTATTCAAGTACTTATCGACATGAATAATATAGCTGGAGAATGCCTAGTTATTAGGACAGATTTTTATAATTGGGACAGCTGAAAAAAAAACACATTGCAGAGAAACTGATAAACAGTGTCACATATATCATATTCAGAATTATTTTTAATGGTATATGATCCTCAACTTTTTAAAGCCAACTAGTAAAGTAGTCCCACAGAGAAGGAATTGCTGTTACAATCCAATTGGGATTCAGGAATTGGATTGCATCAGCCGGCCAATCAGGAGGAAGCCCCATGGCTCACTTCTTCTAGGTGTTTGGTTAAGTAACATAACTTTGCAGTGGTAGCAAGGCCAACGTGCTCTGAGTCCACTGTTTACCTTTTATAAATATAGAACAACCCTGTGTTATTGATGGTGAATCCTGAATCATCCCACAGTGTAAGGGTTAGGAGTTGCAGGTAAGTGCTAATCCCATATACCCATAACCTTTGCCTGTGAAATAGCCATGCCAATTTTCTCTAAACTGAGAAACCATGATTGTTTTACTATTGCAAATAATATGGTAAGAGCCAGAGGACTACAGATGGATGTGATCACTCTCTTCCCAGTTTTAACTTAGCATATTAATACAGTCCCCTATCCAATTGTCATTTACACCCACTTGCTCAATAAAACAATTCACATATTGCTATTTGTTGGTTTAAGTTTACTTTACTGTGTGCATCCAGGTGTTATAATTCATGAATCATAAATTCAAGGCTAGAGTTTTGTATAAACAGAACTGATTGTGCTTTATCCAATAAATCATTTTAGCCTATTGGCTGTTAGGTGAATCTCTAAATAAATCTGAGGTGTTTCCTATTCTCAAAATATGCAAGAAGATGTCTAAGTCAAAATATTAATTTTAGATTCCTCCTAACTCATGTATAAAGCATACACGAGTAGAAAAAAATGATGGATTCCTTTGAATTAATGTAGATAAGTAAATTATGTTTCTTAGCCTCAGATTTCACAAGAAAATATAATCAGCAAAAGCTCTAGCTGCATAATTCAATTCAAATTTGCCTTCTCCCAAAAATAAAGAATATATGGCTAGATAATATATTAAAATCAATTTTATTGATGTATATTCTAGGTCTGATGTGTTGGTCATCAGTGTGGGACCAAGTGAAAAGAAATCAAACAAACTTCATGGAATTCATCCTTCTGATTATAAAATACCAGAAGAAGGAAATAAGACTTAGACAATTATTGAAAAGAAGAAATGCAAAATAAAGAAAAAGAAAATGAAACAACCATCTTAGAATTCATCCTTATTGGTTTGGCTAATCGCCCTGATTTGCAGCCTTTCCTTTTCTTGTTCTTCCTAATGGTTTATCTTGTGACAATGACTGGGAATATTCTCATCATTTTGCTAGTAGTTGCAGACCACCACCTTCACATCCCCATGTACCTTTTTCTGGGGAATTTGTCCTGTCTGGAAATGTGTTATAGTTCAGTAATTTTGCCCAAAATGTTGGTAAATGTGCTTAGTGGTCAGAGGTCTATTTCATTTAATGGGTGCATGGTCCAACTTTACTTATTTGGTTCTTGTGTTGGCATAGAAACATATCTCCTTGCTGCCATGTCCTATGACCGATTTCTGGCAATATGTAGACCTTTACATTACAGTTCCATCATGAATGCAAAATTTAGTTTCCAACTCATAATAGGGGTATGGATTGGTTCTTTGCTGGCTAATTGTATAACAGTATCTCTGATGGCAAATCTAACTTTCTGTGGCCCCAATATCATACATCATTACTTCTGTGATCTACTTCCAATAAAAGAACTCTCCTGCAGTGACACAAGACTGATTGAACTTGTTACCTCTCTCTTGACTTTCATTTTTACTGTTACTCCTTTCCTGTTGACTCTCACATCCTATATTTTCATTATTATCACCATCCTAAAGATAACTTCAGCCACTGGAAGGCAAAAGGCCTTTTCAACCTGCTCCTCTCATCTCATGATCGTTTGTCTTTTTTATGGTACATTAATAATTGTCTATATGTTGCCAGATGCACCCACTTTAAAGGATATGAATAAAATATTTTCCATTTTCTACACTGTCTTGACTCCTCTGATAAACCCCCTCATCTATAGTTTAAGAAATCAAGAGGTCCAGAAAGCCCTGCAGAGGGTTAGATGCAAAGTGATACAATTTGGAAGGATGTAAGCCAGTCTGTTGTCATGATTTATAACAATTGTTTTTTGCGTTTTGGTCTAACAGTTTCCATAATAAATGATGTTCTTAAATGTAATATATTTATTTCATTAATCTGGTGGGTGAAAAAAGCAATAGTACTTTCCAAACTGCATACAGTGAATTATAAACTTGTTTTCCACAAATGACTGAAACAGTATAGATTTAATCCATGTGCTAGACCAGACTTCCCCAAACTGGTACTGTCCAGATGACTTCTGCATCAGCTACTAGCTCTTTTTCTTTGAGATCAGGATGACCCACAGACTGTCAACATTTAGGAAGGCAATAAAACCTGTGCTCTTCTACAAGGACTTTGGTAAAGAGAATCCTCCTTAGGCATACAACAGTTAATGCCATGAAGTGGGTTTAAAAAAAAAATCTGTTTTATCTCTTATGTTTTTAACTATTGGAAATTGCCTAGCATCCCTGGAGCAGGCAGCAAACAAATGCAATAAATAAATAAACAAACAAACAAATGGTACTGGCTGAACTTTCTGGACATTGAAGTCTCAATATATATCTGGAGGGCATCAGGATGGGGAAAATTTAGGCACTGTGATTTTTCATTCACTTGTATATGTATATGTAAACGTTAATTACACCTCTACTTAGTGCCCTATTCTAGCATCATCATTGCTTGCAGTCCATGATTATTTCATTAATCACATTGAGTTCAAACCACATGATCTTCTTGATCAACTCTAGTCTGCGGTGAATGTTCTTTTTAAAATTACTTCTCTGACATACATGTGTATATATCTTTGTTTTGTCCTACAAATCATAGTTCTTTAACTAAGAAGGTGTGCTGGCCCCTTTTCAATTGACTTTAGAAGTTTAATAAGTTTAATAAAATCTGCTTGGATAAATAACTCAGATCAAATCCTTTTGTTTTCATAGTGCTAATATTCTTTGTTTCTGTTGTGAATATTGTTTAGTTCTTTGCTGGATAGTTATTAATTGTATAGCACCACATAGTTTGCATTTGTATAATTCCATAATAGTTCAAAGTTATGCTTCATAGGCACTTTAGGACAGATGCATGGGATGTATGTACCACACAAGAACAGAATGCTCATCATTTATGAACCTCAAAAGTGAAATCCAAATACCCAAATTATATAGGATTGTCTACAGAAAGTGGTGCATAGAATATGGTGACAGAGTTGCACAAAATCAGAAGAATGAAAGCTGATATAATCAGTGAGAAGTCATTGGCACTGGAAATTTGAAGATAAATCTCTTCCCTCATTCCTGTCCAATCCTGTTTCTGAACTTTCAAGAAATCTGGAACACTACACAGCCCTCTTGATAATATTGTAGATATCATTCCAGGTTAACCTTATTGGTGAACTTCAAGAAATCTCATTTTTGTCTTTGACTTTCTTAAAGCTTCAGGTAATATCTTTGAGCTTTGTACATTTTGTATTCTCTGCTGTTTTGTACTGGTCAGGCTGTCTTATCCCTCCCAGTTAGATAAAATCTATGATGCTCCCACCTTCTCAGTTAAAAAAAAAAAATCTGTGGCAGTTCAAGGTAAGTTCTCTGAGGTGTACAACTTTTGGCCCTACACATTCTAAAAGGGCTAAACGAGGGATTCTAATAGGCTGCCTGGAACCCCTGAGCCACACTTTTTACACTTCTGCAGGGGGAGAACTGTGTTAGATTTAGAATTTCAATTACTTTTGCTACAATTCAACAGAGGAAGATTGCTTATCTCTATGTTAAATGGCCTAACAGCTATGTTTGTAGCAAAGCAGTCCCATGGGAAAGAATGAATTAGCAGATCCTCAAGGTTTATGAGGCTGGTTGCATCATGAATGCTTTTCAATGAGCAAATTAGCAAGTCCCTTGGCTTATGTGAAGTAATATAATTGTCTGAAACATTTTCAGTGTCTTGAATGTCTAGTTTTGACCTTCAAAATTTAGAGCAATCCTTGGTTATTGGTCGAAATCACCTGAACAAAGAATGGTTGCAGGTAAGAGCTAATCTATTTGCTGATTTTCTTTACCTACAAAACAGGGATACTTCAAAACCTTGTCTAAACTAGAAACCATTGTTTCAACAAAGCAAAACATGGTGTGAACATAATTCATATTTCCAAAGCAAACTCTCATTTTCCTCTATTCCTATAATGCCCAAATGTCCTCTTTATTGAATGTGTGTGTATGTGTGTGTATGCAGAACGTATGCTTAACTGCAGAAGTTATTCTTTGCACTCTTTCAACACCTGATGCTCTCTAGAGTTGAATTATTATTATTCCAGTTCCATTAATTGTGCATCACAGCTAATATTGGCTAGTGTTCTTCTTCATGATTTGAACTCTGCCTAGGAACTTGGAAATTGTAAAGACAGTGTCTAATTATGTATCAGACTCCTAATAGTGTTGTTGCCTGGGGTTGGGCCGTGGTAAATTGTTCCACATTTAGGAGGAAGAAGAGAAGGAATATTCGGGGGGAGGGGGGAAGGAGGAGGAGGATTACAATGCTCATAGTTGTCAATAGATGAGTGTGCTATGGTGCAAGAAATGTGAAGAGCACCAGCTTGGGAAACATGGACTACTGCTCTGGAGTGTAAACCTACAAACACTTACCAGGTTAAAAAAGATATATAATGAGTATAGTGGGACTAATATATGGGTAATTCTGAATATTGGGACTGATTGAATAATTATTTTTTAAAACCTTGAAACACCATTCTTCCAATGCATTTCGTTGCTTACAACAATAAAAAAAACCACATGAAATTAGAAATAGCAGATAAATTTAAAATAAAATTAAATAGATAAAATGACAAATCACAATACAATAGAAAGCAAATAATAGTAGTAGTAGTAGTAATAGTAATAATAATAATACACCCATTGAGAAACAAGTTCAAAGCAAAACTAGTCTGATATGGATTTTAATTTTACTTGGAAACTGTGGGCTTTAATTCTATACATGGATAGTAACTACATCTGGGTCCTTTTAACATAAGGTCTTTAAAATAGTACATTTTTTAATTTTGTTATAAGAAGGATGAATATTCTTAATTTGACAGAAATTTCTATTTATTGTTTATTCTGATTGATGATTTTTATTACATTGGCTATTTTTGCTAATTATTTCTTTTATTTGATTTCAGAAAGAGTTAAGGTAATCTTATATGTAGTCCTAATCTAAGATTGCTTTGAAAATACTGGTTCAATTCTATGCAACTTGTAAATTTTATTTCATTTCTTTTTGTTTCTCCTTTTCCTTTTTTTTTTTTTTTTACTTCTTTCTTCTTGGTTGTGTTTTTAAATATCTGTAAAAAAATCAAATAAAGAAAAAGGACAGGGTTATGTTTGGATGGATGGATGGATGGATGGATGGATGGATGGATGGATGGATGGATGGATG